CTGGGAGCATTTATCGAAAACGCTGCCAGTCGGTGGAATTGTTTACCTTTCATAGATCTATAGAAAAGCCCGCGATGGCATGTCTATCTTTTATACATAGACTGCTATGTCCGCTTTAATTATTAATAAATTGGTTACATATAATGTGGTAAGTAGAAAGCTATTTAGACGTATGCGATATAAATCCTTATCAAATTAAATACGTTAGTCACTTTAATCATGCATATTATAATTATAATTGTATTACCCTTAACACCACCCAATTTATTATAGGAGTTTTCGGAAAAACCAAACGGACGCCCCCGCGTTCTCTCAATTTGTGTTTAGCTATGACATGAAAAGCTGATAGGTACTATACTAGGATAGAAATGTTGGTTGTGTCAAACTAAATATAGTTAGGTCCTACCTTTTCAGAATACGAAACGTTGTTTGACAGGACTAAACTATTTTTTTGTGATTTTTAGCTTAAGAGTTTTTATTACCAGAATTAGCACCAATGTAGGTACTCAGAGGCGGCCTTACCCATTGCGAGGCTCCGGGCGGAAGGTCTTTGCGAGGTCTTTTGTCCTTTGTTAAAAGTATGTGATGCGAAAGTAGGTCTGGTTGTTTGGTTTAGGTATTTGTCATGTTTAAGGAAAAATGCTTAAATTATACAAATAAATTTGAGTTTTAAAATATTTTACATTGAAAGATTTACAAAATTAACAAATACAGAGATGCTAAATTTTAAAATTGATGTTAGCGGCTTTTCCTAAGACTAAAATCTTTAATTAAAGCACAATAATCTAACGAATAAGCTACGTCATTTTAGATTGAAAGAATAGCGAGGTCTGAAAGCCGATCTTGTGTCATCGAATTCCTCAAATATGTTTTAATAATTTTAAGCCTCGAAAAACTCCTTTCAGGAGACGCAACTGTAACAGGTGTGGTAGCAATAATTCTCAGGACTATTTCGATAGTGGGGTAAACTTCAGTTAATTTTTTTTCTATTATGTATTTTAGCACCGAGATAATGTCATAGTTTCCTTCATACACACGGATGAACATATTCAGTTCTTCGTACAATTCATCTCCATCAATGTCACATAATTCTTCTACTGTCATAGATATTTGCAAGTCGCTGCATTGCTTTAAAAGTTCACTATCATTAATTTCCTTTAATTTTTTTATATTATACATGAAGCCAAATATGCTCTCATGATGTTTAAGAGCCTCAAACCTAGGATAACAGCTTGCGCGCACATTGTCGACAATGACATAAAATAGTTTATTTTGAAAATTTCTTCCGCTTTCAATTCATGAGCTTCATCTTCCCCTTCATAATCAAAATGCCTTTTTTTTACGTCGTCTTCTAACTTCTTTGAACTGTCTGTCAATATCATTTTTCTCGGCTATTTCTCGTGATGTTACAAGGGATGACTGAAAACCATTTTCTCGATAATTATCGAGCCAATTTGTGAATGCGTCTAGGTGATGTGTAGCCACATCTAAGTGCATGTTTTCGCTTTGCCATATTTTACTTATAACATTTATCTTTGTAAGAATGTCATACCATATGACAAGTGAAACTACAAATTCGTAGGTAGTTAGTTACTTTTCTATAGAATGGCATTCACAGCCCACCTCTGACTTGAGCCGGCAAACAGAGTGTACAACCTTTGTAGCAACCCAAAAAAAATTTTGCTTGGACACAAGACGATGCTGCATCTCCTAGGATGAGATTCCAGCTATGACTCAACAAGGTAAAAAATAAGCAAGTGGATTAATTTCAAAAATACGTTTTTGGACACCACTTTTTTCACCACGCATATTGGCACCATTATCATATCCTTGGCCTCTGCAATTTTGCAATGATATACCTAACTGTTCTAATTCTGTGATTATATAATTAGTCAAACTCTCAGCTGTGGTTTTTTCGACGGCTAAGAAACCAATAAAATGTTCTTCAATTTCAGCTGTATTTGTATTAAAAAATCTTATAATAATTGAAAGTTGCTCAACACGAGAAACGTCGCGAGTACAATCAAGAATAATCGAGTAGTACTACTCGTACGTACTACTTACTATTTTTTCAACAATTTGAGTCTTCACGTGACTTGCCATTATTTGTATGAGCTCAATTTGAATACTTTTTCCGATATAGTGGTCATTAATCGTCTTATCCTTTACTTCTTTTAGGTGAAGTCTCAGCACGGGATCAAATCGGGCTATTAACTTTACTAAATTTATAAAGTTGCCACTTGTCTCACTCGAATCTGAGTCAGTTGTTAACTTCTCTCTATGACCCCTGAAGGCCAAATTGTGAGATGCTAAAAAATTTATAATTGCGAATAATCGTTCTAAAATATCTCTCCAACGTTGCCTTTCTTGTTCAATTTGTGACTGGGCCAAGAAGTCAATAGTGGAACAGCTTTTTAAACCATTCTCTAAATTAATCCATTTCAACATACAATCTTTGTGCTGTCGACTAGATTCGTGGGACTTTAGGTAATCACCCAAGTGTTTCAAACCACACACTCCTTCACTTGATCCAATCTTTGTATTTTCTAATCCGAATATTCGACACGGAAAGCAGTAAACGGCATCCTTTGTTTGTGAATAAATCATCCAGCGCCTGTGAAGCTTTTCACCGTTAACTAATATCTTATTATAATGATATTCGCTGAATCGCCGTCCACTATCATTTACAGGAAATAAATCAACTTTAACCCGGATTGGACCTTTTAATACAATCTCAGTTCGGTCTACATCAGTAATTGTTATGGGCCACAAACCGGGGTCATTTTGAGGATTCAGATTTTCCGTTCCAGCAGTCATGGATGTAGACATAGACTCGGGCTCAGATTCGTGTTCTTGACTGGATAGCGTTAATGGTGGCATCGGTGACCTAAGAGACAATGATGTACTCGTAGTTAATTCATTATCATCCTCGCTGTTTTTACTTAATGACGGCGGCGGGCGGCGGCACCCATGATCATGTGGAAGGAATGTTTTCAGCTGGATCAGGATAAAAGTCACTTTTAGTCAATAAATGTTTTGTAGAGGTTTCTTTATCATCACTTTTTATATATTTATATAAAGATCCACGCAGATTTTCTTCTACCTGCTTTCTTTTGACAGCTCGTTTCCTTTTTGAACTCCCTGACTCAAATTTTCTACCGGCCTCACGATCACGCGAACTCATTTCGTAAATCTTGTTTTGTTCCGCACAAACAGTCAGAAATAATTTTTTAAGTACCACACAGTTTTTTCACACAGTTTTTTTTACACTTTTTCAGTTTTCTCAATACTTCAAATACTATAATTTACACTTTTCCAGCTCACTCAATACTTTCAATGCTATAAGAACGTAATATTCAATAAAATTGAAAGATATGTACGGTAACGATTTTGTAACTCATACTTCAAGTAAAATAATTTTAAGGTGACAAAAGTTAACAAATGAAATGAAACACGGGGATTCCCCGAGCGATAGAAGAGCAGAACATTATGTCCCGACTCACGAGTGTTATGCGATTAAAAAACAGATCTTCGATCGATTCGAAGTTAACAAGTGAAAATGTACGAAGATCGTAGTTAATTTTGGGTTGTGATAAGTAAAACTGTACTAAGATTAAGAAAAATATAGAATAAAGTACATCTTATGGTTACAATAACCCAAAGGTTACTTCTGTTTACACACATTTGTACTTATAAACTTCGAATCGCGGACTTGTCATTTTTTGTACTTACGGTTATCGAAAAAAATCTCTCAGTGTACATAATGAACTTTTCAATTATGATTTGAATGAATGAATTAGTTAACTAACTTAATTTTAATTTACGGTTATGTTATAACCTTAATAAGTAATTATGGATCAAAATCAAAAGTTTTAAATAAAAAATAATAGTTAAAAAAAATATATTTATTAAAATTTTGCTTGGGTTGTTGCGCGAGGCCCCTGTAGGAGCGAGGCCCTGGGCGATTGCCCTGTTCGCCACCCCCTAAGGCCGCCACTGTAGGTACTAAAAGCAGAAAAAGAACTAGGTATGTCCTAGATCACATCACTCTCCTCATCAATCTACGGCTTTGATCAGATGCAAAATTAAATTCTATCAACAGTCAACCACTCATATGTAAACGCTATTTACCCTCAGGTTATGTGCATTATTTACATCATCTTTTTTTTTCTAAAAAACCGTTAAGTTAAAACGTTTTTTATCTATCAATATTTTTTTCTGCATGAGATTTAATTATATACTTTCGAACTCGCATTGTATATTGTACATAGAATTGTTTCGATCACTTAGGTACTATACTGTACGTGCCTAGTCGTTGAAACAATTATATTATGATTTCTTCTACTTAAACAATTTATGTCCGTAGACACTACTAGGTATATGAGAAAAAGAATGAAGTCATCCGAATCGTGAATAAATATTGTCATGGACTAGAGCGCAGCCATCATAAATATATAAGTATAAAAGTCCTAGTATGTAATTTAGCCTTTGCTAGTCATTGACAATATAAAATTAAACCAACTAAAATATAGAACGCTACGCAATTTGGAAATGTACTGTGGAACCACTATGTAGAGGAATCTATGCAGCTACATGAACTAGCTTACCTACCCTCACTTTATTTACCCAGGTATCATGTAGGTAGAGGAGACGTCGAAGGATAACTTCCTACCTCACGAAATAATATTGTGCAGTACATTTAAAAATAAACCATATATTAGGCTATTATACAGTTGTTTATGTGAGAACTGAGAAATGGATGTGTGCTAGACGAGGTACGGTGAAATCTATTTGGAGATCGTCTACGTCAGCTCTGTTTTCCGCGGTAGCGTCTCGTTTCCAAAATATGGCATAGGCAGTCGAATAAAACGCAATAAAAAAACAAAAAATGTATTTAATTGAATTTTTTTTTTTCTTATTTGTATCTCTTGATGTACGAGGTTAATTAAAATAATTAAGAATTTGTACTGTAGATTTCTAACAATAATGATTTCGGTGGTTTAAGGGTTATGCTTCTCTTGTGTGTAGACATTACCTAATCCCTTCTTCGGACCTGAAACAAAAACACCGTTACATAAATAAATAAACACATTAAAATTATTCTTGCATAATTTTATAACTACCTATTTTTTATATAAAAAGTTTCTCTGCATACAGAAGGAGCTTAGGTATGCTAATTGCGGTTTGTAGTAGCCATATTTGAAATTACGGCTTGATCGCGTGCGCTTGGCATTCTAAACAGTTTACACAGCTGCAGATATTATTTTTGCGGGGAACGTGGATCTGTCAACCGATAAAAAATAGGGTAATTAGGTACCTATATTCCGTTATTTACAAATAAAACCTATTACCCACCTTTCTAGTATGCCTATTTTGAAAGTTTACTAGAGAAACTATTGTCCCTAGTTACTGCCTTAACAAATTTTAGAACAATTGTTTACACTAATATGTTTTGGTCTTTTGGTGTTCCGAGTTTAAATAAACAGTGCCGTTGGCAAGTAACGTGGAACGTGCTAGAACCGATTACGAGCTCTGCGTTTCCAGGAAGCGTCTTAATCTAAACAACGCACAGATTCCCATTTCAATGTGAGTTAACCTTCAAACGCTCGCCAATTCTACGTTCTGTCTGATGTGCGAGACAATTTAAATCTTATTTAAAAATAAGTGTTGGTTTGCGAGGCAAACGGCGCAGCGCATAAACATAATAAATCATGATCAGTCCAGTCTGTGTGCCGCGACGAGATATTTCTATCGTGATAACAGCTGTACGTAGTAAAGAGTCACACAAGTTTTCTTGTTTATGTTTTTACAATAATTAAGAAAACATTAAACTTTAATCTTCAAGTAACTCGTTAAATTATTTATTATACAAAACAAAAGATACAGACAGACCCCACGATACAGGCTTGCTTAGTGTGGGACCGCGTTAAATATTTATCTGATAAGATCTGCTACAATTATTTTATGTCTTGTCAAGCACTTTTGCATTTTATTTTGTTTCTTAATAAATATTTTTTATTTTTTTTCATAATTATACCCGGCATAAAATTAAATATACAAAGGTATGAACATAATAATACAGGCTGTGTGGTGCAAAATAATTTCATATAAAAAAAGAACTGGCTGGTTTTTCAACGAGGTAATTCAGGTATATGTACTATTTAAAAAAAATATATTGGAAAAACTGATTCGTGGCAAGTTATTGAAAAAAATCAAGCAAGTTTGAAAAACCGGTTTATTGAAAAATAAACAAGGCAAACAATTTTAATAGAAAAACAAAAAATAGGAGGTTGTAGCGGAAAGTTTTTCTATTGAAATTGTAGTACCTGTTCTTTCTTCAATAAACCTTTTTCACACCTGTTCGATTTTTTCAATAACTTGCGATAACGAATCCATTTTTTTTTCTTTTTTTTTAAACTAGTACATTTACCCAAATTATCCCGTTGAAAAACCAGCCAGTTTATATTTTTTCGATCTGAACATTCTCAGCCTCAATACTATAAGCAGGACAACAAAGCTCAAAGACTCAAGTATAAGACAACAAAATCGATAGGTAATTTAAGATAAATACAATTTAATTGGACATTCCCGTAATTGTACTATCTCAGTTATTTTTCTTATGTATTCTTTGGTTTAGTTCTTAGCGTGTTTTTAAAAGTACAAAATGTTTAGAAAAAAAATCAAGCTTCTTGAACGTACCATTATATAATATTTATTTTATGATTGAATATGAACAAGGACAAAAGTCATGAAATGACACAAGATAAAATTCTCTCCTCAATATCGTGGACCGCGGCAGAGTCACGAGCAAAAGTTTGTTTTAAATTAACAATTAAAGTTTAAAAATGATACCGTTACTTCTTTATATTTTTGTCGTAGCATAACCCTATTTATCAACACGGAAATATCGTAACTATTTATTGACCATGGCTTCCTCCCGCAGGCACTCTTGATATAAGTATATTGATCTTGTCGTTATTATACCTATATGGACGTGTTCAGAAAATCAATGAACGCTCACAGATGCTTTATCGCACATAACGTTGTATTACCTGAGAAATAAGGTTCAGTTTATTTATCAGCTGTTATAATAATTTTTAAATCGTTACAGAAGGCTTCGTTGAAGCATTTATCAACACCTCCGTCAGTTCTTAGTGTATATTATACTGCTGCTTAATTTGATTTTTATAAAATACTTGTCTATTTAACTATTGTTGAATCTTCTAACTATATATAATAGTATGGATTTGGATGATCAGTTGGAATGTGCTGATGTAGTTTGATCTTTTGGAACGTAAATACTATCCAGCCATTTCTGCGGATCAATTCGAAGCATTCTGTTCTATAAATATAGATTTAACTACGTCAGAAATCAAATCATGAGGAGCAATCTTCGGCAGCTGATTTAAATTACAATTATCGTACAGGCGGAATTACAGCTAAAAATAATTTACAATGTGTTTTAGTACAGACATTTTAATGATCTTCCAGAATGGAAAGCACATCTTAATCTTTCCTTACTCGATACATAGAGTCAAAATAGAAAAACACGGAGTTAACTATAAAGAAATGCGTTTTCTTAGTAGTTTACTCCAAGTTAGGTGTTGAACAAGAAGTGATTGTTGACAAACTCCCTGGGAAGATAGAATCCAAATTAAAAAATATTAAAAATTAATTATTTAAGTACCTACTTATTATTATTTTATTATGCTTATAAAATAAAAGCTAAAACTATTATATCCATTATCTACTTTCTTATTGTGTTTTAATAAAACATCTTAACTTATACTTTTCCTCATTTATAATCTATCAAAGTCCTGTCAACAAATATATATTCACTAAGTACGTAAAGTCTAAGATTACATCCCAAGAATAAATTATATGCAACTTTATGTTAGGAAAACTTATGATGGCAGTAGTGTTATCGACATCATGCTGTTGCATGTATAATACACCTCCATAACGAGCTTACGCCACTTCCGGAGCCCCGAAAGGAAAGGAAATTCACTTGCGAATTTGCCATTCTATGCACGATCGTGACGTAACATTGTCCCTATGCTCTACTGTTCCCATGCCGTTTTTTTACTATCCATCCACGCGTGTTAGTTCAAAATTCAGACAAAAACATTGTTGTTCAATAAACACCGAAACTCTTCCTTTTTTCAAGTTTTAGCTTAGTAAGAAATAAATAATTAGAATAATTCTGTAAAGATATTGTTAGAAAAAAAAAACTCATGCAACATTGACTTACAGGCAGACCAGACGAAAGTTGTCCTATTCAAATTTTCAATAGTTTAGCACGCTTTTAATAAGCCGAAAAACCTATTACGGATATTTTTAAAATCAAATTTAGAAATTCTCAATGCTCAATCGGCTAACCAAAAAACAGCATTTGATTTATTTAATGTATGTTTAGAGTATTCTTCTTTTGATGTCATCTTTAGGTAACGATCATGAGTTTCCTAAGGAGGTGACGATACTTAAATCTATGCATAGATAACATTTACTTTTCAGCAGTTAACTACAAGAGTTTACTAAGAACGTAATTTTTATGAGGCCACATTTAAATAGCACGTAGGTGAAGTAACAGCTACCTACGCTGCACTAAAATGGAAATGAGCTGTTCAGCATAGTTAATTGGAAAATAGGATTGTTGATAGCGATACCTACTTTTAGTCACTTTACAGTATCGTTATAAAACGTAACGTATCTCTCGAATAAATTCAGTTGCGCATAAATCGCTGTTTCATTTATGATATGATGTATAAAACAGATAATGTGGAATCTGTTGGAATCTATTTATTGACTGCGCAAACATCGTGTAAAAGGAAGCTTTTGGGCCATTTCCTGGCGTAGAGTGAAATGGGGCCGTGCGTGCCGTGACGCATGTTTTACCTCTACATCCGTTTATAATTTTAGTTTTTATAATTGTCTCTCTCTGTATCTATAATACTAAGATTAACTTATCAAATAACACCATAGCTACTCATGGTCTTAGAATTCAGTTAAATTTTAATTAAATTGAAAGACACGGATAATGATGTATTAGAGCTTAGAGCTTTTTAACCCCCAACGGAAAACGGGGTGTTATAAGTTTAACCTGTAGTATCTGTCTGTGTCATCATAACTCTCGAACGGATAGACCAATTTTGATGCGGATTTATTTTCGAAAGCCAATGTGATCGAGATGGTTCTCAACTATAAATTTTGAAGATCATCAGCTCACTTAATAGGTGATGAAGGGATCTCACTAAAATCTACAGGTCCGATTGAATGAATGAAATGTCTACATATTTTTTCGTGCCTTTATATGTCACATTTTATAAAAAATCAAAATTAACCGCCAGATTTAAAACACCCTGCCAAATTATCGTCAGATTTTAGGCTAGTATGAACCTGTAGAAGCTTTCCCACCGCTATAAGTGGATACATTATATAACTTTTATTCATTCTATTACGATTACGAGTAAATCCACATTTAACATCGTACTATTATAAAGGAATGATTAGCTATTTATTTTGTACTAAATTGCAACGTTGAATTTTATACCTACATATTCTCTTATAATAAGAAAAAACATAAAACTATAAACCCAATTTGATACTTAAATAACCTATCGGGTACAACATTTACATATTAAGATTCAAAGAAATATTAAAATAAACGGAGCTCATATCGAGTCGCAGTAGACTTGTAGGCACTTAGTTGCACTGTAACGTTAGGTAGGTAAGTGAAGTTCCTGTGGACTATTTAAATAGAAATACCAGCTCTTAATTAAGACCATTCTAAACAAGGCAACGTTTAAATAACTAGCGCAGAATTACACCCAGCTAACAGAGTAAACGAGCTTTGTGTATGGTAGATCTAACTACCATATTTCTAAACTTTTGATATGCGACCGTAACAAAAGTTGGGTTATTATAATTAAGTATTACTAGGATTATGAAATTAACATCATACAAGACATTGAAAACGGCTAAAATGTAGGATTTGAGATTTAAAACTATATTAAGGATGAAGATCATCATCTATGAACAATTTCAACATTGTGT